CCAGCAGGGACCATGCAGGGACACACACACAGCAGCAGTGGGAACCCAGAGTCCTTTCAGAGGAGATCCAACTCTGTCATGGCCTACTAACGGGGCAAAAAAGGTGACTCTCACATCCAGCGTGTTCTGATGGTAATAATGAAACTTAATGGTGCACGATTCCATGACTTGCACAAGGGGCAACGGGAAGGGAAGGGAAGAGAAAGAAACTGGTGGGAGATGCCACAAGGTAATGGAAGAGAAAGGAGACCAGGAGAAGACACCCCATGGGAAGGGAAGGGAAAGGATGGAAATGGGAGAGATGACATAAGGGAAGGGAAGGCATGGGAAGGCAACTGTGGGGAAATGCCGTATAGGAAGGGAGGGGGACAGGGGAAATCGTGTAAGGGAAGAGAAGGGAATGGGATTGGGACTGGGAGAATTTGCCACATGGGAAGGGAAGAGAAGGAAACCAGGGTGAGACATTACAAGGGAAGGGGACCAGGGGGAAAGGCTGGAACGAAAGGGAAGGGGACCGGTATGAGATGCTGCAAGGGAAGAGAAGGGAAGGAAACCGGGGTGAGATGATGCAAGGGAAGGGAAGGAGACCAGAGGGAGATACGGGAAGGGAAGGGGACTGGGGGGAAACGCCGCAAGGGAGGGGAAGGGAAGGAAACTGGTGGGAGATGCTGCAAGGTAACGGCAGGGGACGGGAACGGGGCAGGGGAGAGACGCCGCAAGGGAGCTGAAGGGAAGGGGAGCGAGAAGAGAGCCGGCGTCGCCGGCGCTGACCAATGAGAGGGAGGCCGGGGGCGGGGCGGTGCCGGCGCCGACCAATGAGAGGGAGGTCAGGGGCGGGGCGGTGCCGGCGCTGACCAATGAGAGGCCGGACCTTCGCCGTCGCCCCGCGCCGATGGCGGCCGGCTCAGCCTGCGTGCCGCCGTTCCCCACGGCTGAAGCGGCGGCCGGGCGAGGCTCAGAGCTGGCGGGCCTCTGCCCGGAGGGACCGCGTGCAGCACGGCAGGTTCGGCTGCTCAGTGTGCGAGGCCGGGAAAGCTCGCGGGCTGCGGCTCCAGGGCGGGCAGAGGAAGTCACGGCGCCGGTGCTGCTGGAACCCGCGTGCTGTCACGCTGCGTTTCCACGAGGACGGCGGGCTCTCCCCGAGGAGCCGAGGGCAGCTTTGCTGCTGAGTTCGTTACCCGACGAAGCCCGACGCGGGGGGGCTGGGCAGACAGTCTTGCCAAAGAGGCCCGTGCTACAGCAAGATTGACAGCACGACGCCTTTTGTTCCCCTTGAGCCCTGGCCAGGCTTCGGGGCGAAAACCAAGAGGAGAAAGAGGGCAGCGGCTGTTCCCTCGGACTGCTCCGTACATTGGTTTACTGTGTGCTAGAAAGGCTGGAGCTGCTTGCAGCGGCTCTGGACGCCTCACTCGTGGGGTGGATGCATTGCTGTGCAACTTCCCCATGGCTGGGAGAGGTTCTCCAGATCCTCATTGCAAACGGGGCTCCGCAGTGACTGCGGGTCTGGGTGATGATAAAGTACTGGGGCAGTTGGTGATGTACCTCTCTTCATCGCTGAGCTCTCGTGGCAATGAATAGGCCCACTGCCTTGCTTATTCCTTTTTCTGTGAAGCTTCCCTTCTGGCTATAGACACTGCCAATAAATATTATTGCTTGTGTGTTATTTTGTCATAGGCTGTAAAATAAGCCTATCCCAAAGACGCTGGTGTCTTTGTTGTTCCTGTTGAGCCCATCGATTGTCACAACAGCATTAGCACATGGTGGCACATAACTTGGACATCAGCAACGTGACTTGAAAGGCCAGCATTGGGAACATCTCCTTTGGAGAGAGACTGAGAGGTTTGGGCTTGTTGAGCCTGGAGAAGAGAAGGCTCTGGGGAGTCCATGTGGCTGCCTTTTAGTACACGGCGCCTCACAGATCACCTAGTTCCAACCCAGCCCTTGGAGTGCCGTGTCTGATTACATCCTGGAACAGATGAAGCTGAACAAGGTGGGCTGGTATGCTGGTGGCCCTCGCCCTGGAGAGAGATTCAGTCCCGCCGAGAATGGGGGCCCCTCAGAGCAGTCTCTCCCTGAGCACCACACTGAGCCGCACGCTGAGCCTAAGCCGGGTGCCCAGAGCAGCTTGTTGGCCAACTGGGAGGGAAACCCAAGGCCAGAGCTGCCCTGAGCAAACGTTTGGCACACGCAGGGGCTTCGCTCTGCCCTGTGGTCAGAACGGGGAGAGCCAAGGGAGAAATGGGTGGGGGATTGTTTCTGGCCCTGTGCCAAGGATAGTCCTTGGGAATCAGTCCCAGGCTTAAGCCCTGTGCTGTAAATGCCTGGGCTCTTCTCTAGCCAAGGGAAATACACTGGTGTTGGGAAATACTATGCAGAGGTGACTGTCTTGCAGGGATCACAGATTTTTCCAAAGCTTTCCAGAGAGCCCCATCTCACCCCGCTGTCCAGCAGGAGTGGGGAGGACAGAGAGCAGTGACCCCATGCTCTTGATGTTCGTGGCTTTTGCCGCCCCTAAAGTACACACTCGTCAGCCTTTCTGTCTTTTCCCTGTGCAGGGAGTCCTGGTTCCGGGGCTCGGGGTCTTTGCTGGGGTCCGAGAGCAATTCCACAGCAAAGAAGAGGCAGTTTCGGTGCTAAGGCCTGTCTTCCAGCTGGACATCGGGGTGCTGTGGCTGCAGGACCTCCAGTCTCCCAATGACATCATCCCTGGTGAGAAGGCAGCAGCCACCTTCCCCTTCCTGTCCCACGTCTGGCCGGGTGTGTTATCCCTGCTCTCTGGAAATGGCTGGGAGCAGCAGAGAATTGTCTGCAAAGCTCGGGGTACAGCAGGAGTTCCTCCCGAAGGAACCACAGCCCAAGAGCTGTTTCTCCGAAGGACCTTTTCTATGGGATTTGGTTATGAACGTTGCATGGGAATGTGGCTTGCTGTGGCAGTGAGGCTGTGCCTTCTCCTTGCAGACGATGTCAAGATTGAGTCGCTCAACTACCAGCAGCTCTCGCGAGCCTCCGGCGTCCCGCTGAACGTGGTGCTGCGCTGCGTGCGAGAGAGCGTGCTCTTATATTGTCAGCTCCTGAGGAACAGGGAGCCCGTCTCATTTGTCTTTAAGAACATCGGCGTTGTGACGTGCCAAGATGACTTCCTCCTCATGAGGTTCTTCTGCAGCTGCATTGCAACGCTGGAAAGCAATGCCACTGTCCTTTCTCTGCTCTGCACTGTAAGTTGAGGAGGTTTTGAGGGTGTGCCATCAGATCACTGCTGGCCAGCCTGGACGTGGCAGGCCAGTCCAATGCCTTTCACTGTGCTTGCCCCCACTGCTTTCTCCACTGGCAAAGAGATTTCCTGGATCCCTGCCCCTGCAGAAAGCCTGGCAGTGCTCTTGCACAGCCTCTCTATTTGGCCATCCTGCTCCTTCAGAGCAGAACAAAGCTCTGATGTTCACGGAAGAGGCTTTGGTGAAGAGCAGCTTTCTCTTGGCGTGGGAGCCAGGCTTGCTTCCTGTCAAGAAGAGCCATGAAAAAATGGCCTTGGCAAGCCTCCAGCAGGTCTGTGTCCCTTTGCAGAGATTTTGGACGGAAGATTCTGCTGACTTCGGGCCAGAGACCACCGCCCATGGGATCCGGGTGTTCCCGAGGTGAGCGCATTTCCTCTGCAGCACTTAGCTGGCCAGGAGACAGGCTTATTTCCCACCTCCTCCTCTGAGACGTGCCCTGCTGGGTCTCCGTGCTCGGCATCCAGTCGGGTAGAAATCCTGGGAAGTCTGGCTCCTGGGAATCATGATTGTGTTACCTGTGCCCAAGCTGTCCCGATTCTCATCAGAGAGAATGGACTGCACGTGCAGAGGAATTTGGGCTACCTGTGCTGGTTTGGCGTGGCCAGGAAGGAAAAGGATGCCACGCTTTGCATAGCACATAGATAAATACTGCCGACCAGCTGTGTGGGGTAGGAAGTCATCCTTCTTCAAGGGTTGTCACTCTTTGTTTCCAGGTTTCAGCTCACTGTGGAAAAGAGCAGAGCAGAGGTTGCCGCAGAAAAGAAAGCGGAAGATGAGTAGAGGTGAGGGAACGGGTCCCAGCTGTAGGGAGGTGGGCCCTGTCCCATGCCGGGTGACTGGATCCAGGTTCATGTGCTGTGCCTGGGGCTGCTCTGAAGAACTTCTTTCTCTTTTGGTTCCAGGGGGCTCTGCCAGCAGGCTGCTGCAGAGGCGGAAGACACTTCCCCCCTCCATGCTGCTGCAGCGCAAGCCAAGCTCAAGGCAGAAAGACGTGGCGAAGGAGCCTTCTGCCAGGTGAGAGCCTTGGGCGAAAAGAAGAAGGCGATGCGTGTGCTCGTGTAGGACTGGGCTCCCCTTTGGAGCTGCCGGCTCTCAGCACCCAGAAAGGCTCCTGACACACGTGTCCCAGTGGGGGCCGTTCTCTCCAGGGACGGCAAGCGCACAGCCCCAACGCAGACACACCAGCTTCATGTTCCACCCTGGCCCCCGATCCCTGGGGGAGCTGAATGCTGATCCCCATTGA